GTGCACAAATTCATACACTACTGGGGTCCCTCAGCCTGGCCTGTGCGATCGGGCCAAAACCGGATCTCTGGTATTCCCTGAGGGGTCCCAAGATTGCGAGAGGGTGCAGACCAAGCCGAGGGACCCAACAGGGACGCGGGAGGTTGGCCAGCCAGGGAGGGACCACAAGAGGGCTCCAGGGCGTGTCGGCCCATCTCGCTCAGTCACGATCGGCTGGACCCCAGCAGCAAGCTAACTTACTGGTTGGAGAGTCTGCCCCCTAGTGATCAGTGCACATCATAGTGCGTGGTTGAGTGGCCTTAGCATATCATTAGCATATTACTCTGATTGGTTGAATGGATGACTGGACAGCCGGACACTTAGCATATTAGGCTTTTATTATATAGGGTGGATTGTCTACAGATTTTCCAAATCAGACTGTTTTTTCTGAGATGTTCCAGTGCTGTCCTGGTCACCATTGGATTCTTGTTTATATGATATCCCTATTGCTTTGAATACATTTGTATTCTCATCGACAATAGCTAGAATGTAAAAGTTTTAAGATAGAATATGCATAAGAGAAAGCATTTTTGTAAATAGTACCTTTTATTCATTTTTGTTAGTGACTCTTTTCATCTGAGGATTGATTGTTCAAAAGGTTATTGCACAATGCTAGATGCTCTGATTCTTTTGCCTAAGGATTTAATAATCTAGGGACCCAAGCTTTCTTTACTTACCCCAAATTTCTTTTAAATATACAGACAACAGACAAATATTGGTGAACATGTAAGAACTCAGGACATACAATTTTTATAAGCCCTTACTGAAGAAATTACCAGAAGACAAATTTCAGCCAAATAGGAGGTGAATGGAGACTCTCAAAGAGATTAGCATTTAATAATTGAATTCAGTGTGCTCTGAAACAATAGAGAGTGATTGCTACAGAATAGAATATAAAGGTTATAAAGCCTGACAGTGTAGAAATAATAAAATAAAAGGTGAGAGAGGAAAAGGTGAGAGGTAGTGTATGCATGCTAATACCCTCAGATTTTATATCTGGGATACAATACCTATAATTTAAAACAGAAAGATATGAGTATTCAATGGTTTAAAAAAGCAAACTGCAAGAAACATTATAAAATCAAAAAAAGTGTGTGGAGGAGGATGGTAGAGAGGAAATGAGAAAATTCTCATTAATCATTGCTCTTATGAGAGAGTTAATGAGTGCAACCATGTTTATGTAGTTGTATATATATAAAAGTAGAAATGCAACTCTTCTGAGTAATCATGTAAAATATAGAATATAAGGCTAAGACAGCATGGACTGTAATGTGAGGGGTTTTTTAAAAGGCACTGCAGAAGCCCAGTTCACATAGCATCAAACATGTAATGAGCTTCATTATTTTCAGAGTCCATATTTGCAAATTCGCTTGCTCACTAAAATTTATTGTAACCCTCAAATCAATACTCGTGACACTTACCCAATCAATTTTGGACATGAACAGCATAGTGAAAATTTTGAGTTGCTAGCTGAGGTTGAACAAGGCAACACTCTGCCTTTTTGTTTCAACTTTCACACTATAAACAATTATTTGTAAAAAAAAAAAATAAATAAATGTATATTAATAAACTAGGTGTCTTTAAAAGAAAAATGCATAAAATAAGTTAACATATTGATTAGTTGACCAGAATGTTGTGATCAGAGGCTCACAGGAACCTAACCCTATATTTCCCATAGGTGTTCACTAATTCAGTGTTTGCAACAACTTTACAGAATGTAACTATGGCAACTAGCAAGAACTGACTGTGCCTAGGGTTGAATTTAACAAAAGGTGTGAACAACTTGTACAGTGAAAACTATAGAACATTGCTGAGAGATAGAACATATCTCTAAATATGGGAAGAGATATACCATGTGCATAGATCAGAAAGCTCAATATTGGTGTTAGTTCTTTCCAAATCGATTTGTAAATTCAACACACATACAAAATCAGAATTCCAGCAGGCCTTTTAAAAATTGATATTTCCTTGAAAATGCAAAAACCTAAGAAAGCTAAAACAGTTTTGAAAAAGAACAGAATTAGAATACTTACACTAATTGATTTCAAAGGCTTTTTTGTACAGTACCAAGACAGCATGGTATTGATGAAAAGATGTATAGATAGATCAACAGAATAGAGTCCAGAAATAAACCCACACACATATGGACACCTGATTTTGATCAGAGGTGCAAAGGTGATTTAGTTGAAAATGAATAGCCTTTTAAACAAGTATGCTGGACCATTTGATATCTATATGCAGAAATATGGACTTTGATCTATACCTTTTACCATGTACAAAAATTAGCTCAAAATGGATCATAAACCTAAATATAAAACTTCTCAAAGGAAACATAGAAGTATATTTGTGATTTTTCAATTAAATAAAAGTTTCATAGATATAAAGCCAAAAATATGATGCATAAAGGACAGATTGATGAATTAGACATAAAAATTAAGAACATTTGCTCTTCAAAAGAGATTGTTCAGAGGAAAAACAAGATATAGCTAGGAGAAAATATTTTGCAAATTGTATCTCTGATAAAAGATTTGTATTCAGAATATATAAAGAATTCACAAAATTCAATAATAGACTAATTTTTTTAAATGGCAAGAGATTTGAACAGACACTCTACTAATGAAGATATACAGGTGGCAAATCATCATATGAAAAGATTTGTCATTAGGCAAATACAAGTTAAAACCACAGTGAGATATCACTCCATATTCATAAGAGTGGTTAATTTAAAAGATGACAATACCAAGGGTTGACAGGGTGTGGAGTAAGTGGAACTCACAATTATTAGTGATGGGAATGCCAAATGGTACATCCAGTTTGGAAAATAATTTTGTAGTTTCTTAAAAAGTTAAACATAAACCTACTGTATGTCCAGCTATTCAACTCCTTGGTATTTGCCCAAGAGAAAGGAAAGCATCTATATATATAAAAAGCTAATATGCTAAGTGTCCGTCCGACCGGTTGCAATGATGTGCACTGACCACCAGGGGGCAGATGCTCAACTAAGGAGCTGTCATGATGCACACTGGCCATTTACAGAAAAACGGCACCGTAGACCTGGTGCCCACAGAGCAACACTCAGCTTCCCCCAAGTGGGACACAGGCTCCACCACCACCCCAGAGTGACACCCCACCAGATCGCAGCCGATGCTGCCGAGACCCCATGGCTCAAAATGCAGCCCACAGCCCAGCCCAGCCCCAAAAACAGTGGCTGTGGGCAATGATGTCACGTAGCAATGCCCAGCATCCTCTCCCTAGTGACTAGCCTCCTTGGAGTTTTTTCAGCCCAGAAACATGACTTGCTTTATAGTCAGGTGGAAACATTTACATTTTAACCAAATATCTGTGAAGCATTTTCCCATGCCTCATCTTATTTGATCCTCCAGAAGTCCTGGAGTAGGTAGATAGGAGACTTGGTGGAATCCAATTTTCTTTTCATTAGCTGGAAAACAGAGATTTAGAAAGCTTAGAAACTTGACCCGACTGAAAAGAAGTACGAAATGGTGAACCTTGAAAATTACTTCAGGTTTTCTTACTGTGCAGAATATAGTCAAACACTGCTGCAGTTAAATATTTTACCCTTCGTTCTCCCTGTGTGATCTACAATAATAAATCTGCTTCGTGTTGATATTTACTGCTGTGTTGCTGACAATTACCTGAAAGAGAAGTTGGGGTGCTTCACTGGGCTGGAAACAGTTTAGCTAAATCAGAAAGCAGGTCTAATTAAGCAAGTTTATTCTATATATATAAAAGGCTAAGTTGACTCACACATGTGCCATACATATAAAGCTCTCACTGGCGCCAATTGCACACGTGTGTTTCGATCTTTCATTGTCAATCATGAATTTGGTTGACGCTTCTGTTATAGAGAAAGGGCAAATAGCGGTATTAAAACATTTCTTCTAATTTCCTTTCAATGTGCATGAATCCTTGCACTGGGACACTAGTGTAGTCATAAAAAATACTTGTACATAAATGTTTATAACAGCCTCATTCCCTTACAAGGGAATACTACTTAGCACTAAAAGTAATGGTTTATTGATACATGCAACAACATGGGTAAATCTCAAAGTAATGGTAAGCAAAAGAAGCCAAACCAAAAAAATAATACACAGTGTAAGATTTCATTTCTATGAAACGTTAGGAAATGCAATCTAGTCTATGGTGACAGAACAGAAATCATTGGCTGCCTAGGCATGAGGAAGTGGTTGGAAGGGAAGGATGAATTCATAGGGGCATGGTGAGGAAGCTTCTATGGGTTTATCTCCAATAGAAAAACATATCCTCAGGTGAGGATAAAGTAAAAATTTTAAAAAAAATCTTAAGCTTCAGTCACAATAGAAATGCTCATTAAAAGCACAATGATGTGATTTTTCACATACCAGGCAGTATGGACCATAACACTTAATAATGCACTGTGAGTGTGGAAGAAACCCACTCTTGTACACATCTGGTGGGAACTTAAGTTGGTATGACTTCTATGAAAAGTTACAATAGCTTTCAATATTGAAAGTGCACATACCATGTGATCTAACAATTTTATTTCTAGGAATTTACCCTATAGATATATCCTCCCATATGCAAAATGAATACATGGATGTTCATTGCAGCATTGTTTGTAAAAATGGAAAAAAATAATCTTTTAATTGCATAAATTAAAAATGAGATTTATTGGATAAATAAGGCTATATCTATACATCAAAAAGAATGAGACAGCACTAATAGCTAAGGATATAGACTATTCTACAGGTTGTACTGTTAAGTGAAAAAATCAGGGGACAGAATGCCCTGTACAGTATGCTATCATTTCTTATGCATATTCGGTGCTAGTATAGACATAAATATTTCCTGCAAAGATCCACATGAATCTAGTAATAGTGGTGCTGTCTGATTCAGGTCTGGAATTGGAAGGAGCATACTACTATGGAAACATATAAACTAATCAAAATTATTCTTTGTCTTAGAAATCAGTCCAGAACCTGGAGGACCTTACAAAAGTAAGTACTAACTTATCTGACAAATATTAATGTTTTCGTAATAAAAAAATTGCTAATATAACAGTAATTATTGAATGTTAGGCACTGCACTCTGGGTCCTTTACAAATATCACTTCAGTTTTTCCAATAAGCCTTCAAGGTAAGTTGGGGTACTGTACAGGTTAAGAAATAGATTCACAATATCACCCAAGGACACACAGATAATAAGGCCCTTTTAAGTTCAGTTGGTTGAGGCTTGAGGAGTAACATCCAAAGATATATCCAAGCTTCTGTCCATAACATTTATGAATGGCATGTGTAGTGGCAGACCACACAAGTCAGTTACATGTAAGTTTCCTGTACTTCCAAGGAAAGAGAGTTATTGTCTTACTTAAATTTTTTTATATTAAGATTGGAGCTTGTATGATTCCAGCAGGCTCAACATCTTGAAAATACCAACTGCCAAGATAAATGTTGTCTTTAGAGAGTAAATATTTTCATGTTTCTATATAACTATGATGTGGCCTTCTTGAACTGGTTTTATTCCATAAAGAAAATGAGATTCTTTAGCAGATGGACAAATTTTAAATGTAGGCCAAACCTTAAAAATAAAAATCCAAGTAAAATGAGAGGAAAAAATTGAAAACATCACCTCTTTTAAATGAGGGCTTTTGCTTCTGGCATTATAAATAATCAATAGGGTTTTGTATTTTGTTTTATTTTGAGCAAGGGTAAATTTCAGTCTTTTTATTCTTCAGTACTCAAGGGATCACTTTGACAGCTGATAAACTGGCCTATATTAAAATAATGATATGGCAGGTCTTTGGGTATCTTAGTATGAAATCGATTTAAGTCAGATTCAGTTTATAGCATCTGGAAGTTTGCCTGCTCATGGCAACAAATTAGGACTTGCATTTACTATTGACTCACTGTGACACATAGTTGAAGGAGGTTACCTATGTATTTTTTACCCAGTACTCTTTAGAAACAACTATGTCTTGTTTATCCAGTAAATGCATTATTAAAAAGAAATATGTAAATTAATTACTGAATAATGAATTTTACTTTTTCAACTTCATCATCTTGTAAAATGTTCTGTTTTTATTTATAATTCTTATTTATTAGGGTTCATTGTTTCAATTAGCTTTGTTTCCTGTGAAAAGTAACTCGTATGTATGCAAATACTTATTCAGATTACAAGATGTTAGATATTGTACCAGGCAGATGTACATGCATCCTTTAAAGCATTGCCCATGACCAATTAATTATCTCTCCCTAAAGTTTACCACCTCCTGTTCTTATGTGTAACTGTAGTTAGGTTTCTCTCCCTCTTTCATAGTCTTAAGGTATACAACAAAGAAACCTCACCATAGTTTTAATGTTCACTGGAATAATTGTCATTTTGCAAATATATTGCGTCTTCTTCATTTCTTCCCATGCCCCTTCTTATTCATATCTAGAACCATAAAATGTTCAAAAGCAAATGAACAGCTGTTTTGAAGAATGAATTTGTTGAAGGTCTATTTCTCTATCTCTTACCACGAGTGTGGTCCTCCACCCTTTTCCAGACCCTTGGGTAGCCAGTAGTTCTGATGTCTACTGTGTGCATTGAGATGGGTAAAATCCAGAGCACTGCCTTGAATTTCCAGGATGGTGACTCTTCCTTATCCTTTCCTGTGTTGTGAGACCTGCCACTTAGAGTCAGTGTGGGGAGATGTCTCCAGGGCCTGCACTAAGGTATGCACTTAGAAATAGTCTGTCAATTTTGCTACACGTGAAATTGTCCCAGAGGCTCCTTACACTATCTTCATTTTTTGGATTCTTTTTTCTTTTTGCTGTTCTGAGTGGGTGTTTTTTGCTTTCTCATATTCTAAATCACTAATTTGATTCTCAGTGTTCTCTACTCTTCTGTTAATTCCTTGTATATTATTCTTCATTTCAGTTACTGCATCCTCCACTTTTCACTGGTCCTTTTTTATGTCGTTGATGTTCTCACTAAGTTCCTTGAAGTTCTCAGTAAGTTCCATGAAGTTCTCATTAAGTTTCTTGAGCATCCTTAAAGCCATTGTTTTGAACTCCGTATTAGGTAGCTTGCTTGCTTACATTTCATTTAGTTGTTTTTCTGGAGATTTCTTCTATTTTTTCATCTGTCACATGTTTCTTTGACTCATCATTTCATCTGCTTCTCTGTGTTTGGTTCTATGTATTAGGTATAGCTGCTATGTCTCCTGGATTTGGTAGAGTGGCCTTGTGTAGTAGGTATCCTATAGAGGCCCAGTGGCTCAGCCTCTCCAGTCACCTGAGCTGGGCACTTTCGGTGTGTCCCTGTGTGGCTGTGTGCACTGTCCTGTTGTAGTTGAGCATTGATTGCTGTTGGCATCACTGGGAGGGATTGACCACCCCACACCAATTGGCTGTGCAGACCAGCTGTGACTACAGCAGAAGGGCTGCTGTGCAGGAGATTCCACTTTGGAGCAGGACTTGCTTCAGTGGGGCTTTGGTGCTCTCCAAATCTGCCCCTTGAGTGTGTTGCTTGTGGATGTGGTAAGGTTGTAATCTGTGTAATCTGGTGTGATCTGAAGCTGACCACTGGGTGCATTAGCTCTGGGGTCTCCAGGAAGGTGCAAAGTCAGTTAACTGCCTGGGGCCACCCGGCACAAGGTACAGAGTGATCTGAAGATGGCTGCTACTTGTGTTGGACTTGGAAGTGCCCAGGAGAGGCCAACCTGTGAACCAGAATGCTACTTGTGCCGGCCCTGGGGCCACTTACCAAAAGGTATGGGGCACACTGAAGCCAACTGCTGCTTGTTTGAGAAATTTTAGGAAAGTCTGAGGCCTGAGTTAGGCCATTCATATGGAAAAGCTACTGCAAATAGCTTGGGTGGGGCTGCAAATTGGATGGGGCAGAGTCTCAGGAAATCACCAGGGTGGGGCAAACAGTATGGGCCAGATTGGTAAAGATTCAGATTTGGTGACTGCCTGTTGGTAATGTGACAGGGAGGTGTCAGCAAAGGAACCAGTGACCTCTGCTGGCACTTTTGTCTGGGAGAAGGCTGTCCCCTAGTTCTTGCTCTGTTGCCAGACAATTTAGTTCCTCCCATTTGTTGATGGGTCCTTTCAAGCTGCTGCCCCAGCACTGAAGCTCAGAGGGAGTTAGTCCAAGTAAGTCCATCACTGGTCCTTTAAGAGGAACTGCCTGGGACTCCAGCAACTCTCCCTATCACTCAGCCACAATCCCTGCTGGTTTTTACAGCCCAAAGTTATGGGAACTCTCTTTCCATTACTAGAACCCTGGGCTGAGGGTTCTGGTATGGGGCTGGGACCCCTTGCTCCTCACAGGAGGCCTCCACAGCCAAGATAGCCTTCCCACATAAAATGCCACATGTGGGTGTCGGACTAACCTGTATTATGCCTCTGCTCCTCTTACCAGTCTCAGTGTGGCTTCTTTAATTCTGTAGGACTTCTGTTCAGCCAGATTTCAGGTGGTTCTGAATGATGGTTGTTCTGATTTAGCTGTAAATTTGATGTGGTTGTGGGAGGATGTGAGTACTGCATTTACCTACGCTCCCATCTTGACTGAAAGCCAACTTCAAGCATACCAACATTTGCATCATGGGGGTACCAGAAGGAGAAAAGAGGGAGCAAGAAATTGAAAACCTATTTGAAAAAATGACAGGAAACAGCAGGTGAAAGAAATACACATATAAGTCCAAGAAGTGCAGAGAGTGCCAAACAAGATGAACCAAGATACATTATAGTTAAAATGCCAAAGGTTAAAGACAGAGAACCTTAAAAGCAGCAAGAGAAAAGCAGTTAGTTACCTATAAGGCAGCACCCATACAACTGTCAGCTGATTTCTCAACAGAAACTTTGCAGGCCAGAAGGGAGTGACAAGAAATATTCAAAGTGGTGAAAAACAAAGACCTACAACCAAGATTACTCTTCTCAGCAAAGCTATCATTTTTAATTGAAAGCCAGATAAAGAGCTTCACAGACAAGAAAAAGCTAAAGGAGTTCATCACTACCAAACCAATATTACATGAAATGTTGAGGGGTCTTCTTGAAGAAAAAGAAGGAAAAAAAAGATCAAAAATATGAACAATAAAATAGCAATAAATACATATCTATCAACAGTTGAATCTAAAAATCAAAATAAATGAACAAGGAATCTAATGAACAAAATAAACTAATGAATAAAATAGAACCAGAGGCATAGAAACATGGAACAGAGTACTCGACAAATCTCAGAGGGACGGAAGTGGGGTGGGAAGAGATTAAAGAGCTTAATATATGTATACATACATTACCCATGGACATAGACAATAGGGTGTTGAAGTCCTGGGGTGGGGGGGGATCTGGATGGAAGAGGGGCAGTCGGGAAAGCAATGGGGGGACATCTGGAATACTCTCAATAATAAAGGTGTGTTTTTTAAAGAAATAGGTGTCATTTGGGTAACTAGTGCAGACAGTGTAATTGGTAATGTAATATGTTTATGTATATAGACTTGTGTCCCTGTGTGGGAAAACTGCACTTTACCCCTACTTCCAAAAGAGATGAGATGAAGTAACTGAAAGAGGAGATTGCACATTAGGTTAGCTTAATAGGTTTTAAAAGTACAAAGACATAATCTATAAAAACTTGAATCTGAACCTCTCATTGTTCAGCACTTTGTGATGAACTGTAGGGATATAGAAGTAGCTGAAGCATTTTTGCCCTTAGACAGCAATGACTTTCCTGGTCACAGTACCAGCACCTGTAAGATGGCAAAACAGGCTCAGGGAACTTAAGTAAGGTGCCGAGCCCTCAGCCAGTCATTGGTGGAGTGGGAGTTCAGCCTGACCTGTACTGTCAGTCATGCAGTATACTGCCTGCATTGAAGGTTGGTTTAAAAAGACAGGAGTTCCTGCCCTCAAAGGGCTTTCCATCCGATGTAATGGTGGGATTCCTGGGGACAGATGTCCGCCAGGCGCATGATTGTGTTCTTGCCCAGCTTTTCAACTACAGCGCTCGCTGCGTCATG